ATTTTTGCCAAAAATGGCTGCTGGTTACGCTATGATGCAAAAATCATAGAAGGCATATGAAGGAAAAGTGCAAATACTGTTTCTCCACAATGTTTATAAACATTGTTTCTAAATATTCTTTTTTGCGTCACAGCGCATCAAATCACACCCAGCGGTAGCTTTTGGTACCTAAAAATGAATTGCTGATTCATAATCAAGCTTCCCAAAAACCTCCAGTAAGTCATATTGATGGTATAAATATTTGAATAGATTTTCCCTATACGACCACGAATTTCAATTGAAAAAAATAAAATAAAAATCGCCAACCCGGGAAATCTAAGAAATTACTTTTCTATTTCACTCAGATATCTCGTAAACTTAGAGAATAGATTGCGTTCAAACAGACAGATAGACGGATATAGCTAAATCGACTCAGCTCGCCGTTCTGATCATTGGCACTCTGGTTTGGCGACTACTATTTGCTGGCCAAAAGTCCAGGAGTATCCAAATTGATTTGAAACTTGGAGTTTGAGGGCCTTTGTGGTCACTGATTTCGTATATGATGTCAGATTTGGATTGGAATTCAAAGTTGCCGATCCAATATGGCGACCAAATTTTATAATTTTCCCCTTTTCACCAAAAACTTTTATATGAGGGGGTTTTCGAGGTGGCGATGTCAGATTTTTAAAATTCAAAATGCTTGTCTAATGTGGGGTTAGCGGATACGGAGCAAAAAAAAAAATAGTTCAAAATAGTAGACCACATGTTTGCTAAAATTTTTCCTTAATCATAGATGCTTCAAATAAAAACTGTTTCCTTTGGATATACCTACGAACATAAGTAACACGAGAGTATATATTTGTACAAATGTTGTACAAAGTTGTACTTAAGTATTTATTTGAAAAGACACTAGCACAACAAATGTAATTTCATTTCATATTGCTAATATTTAATCTAGGTACAGGGCTGGCTTTAGAAGTAATGACGGCCCGGGGCGTAAATGGAACGAAGCGTTGATAATATGTAATGCATAATACCTCTTTTTCTTTTTATTGTACGATAGTCAATTGCAAAAATAGTAGAGATAAAAAAATTCAGTTTTTACTATAATCAAAATCTTCAGTAACAATCACGTTTTCGATAGATAAGATAGCTAAAGCGTTAAATTTTTCTTGGGGCATAGTGAGATCCTAGGTACGTTTTGATGAGCGGCGATTTCGAAAAACTTCGCTCCCTGCTGACAGGTGAATAGAAAGTGACTGTAGCAATGGAGGTTCTCTGCATTGATTTACTCATGAGATTGACCAGAGATAGGACGAAAGTTTTCTGAGATAGGTCGTTTTCGAACTGGCTGCCGAGATAGGTCGATCTTCCACTCAGCAATCGATATGAAGTTGTATTCCTCTAGTAATGGGTAGATTTATTTATCATACGATGTAGCATGATGACTCTTATGACATACACCAAAGGAGGAAAACGCTTGGAAATATACGTCGACTTAGCCACTATTGACCGATTGAGGATAGTCAAAAGAAGAAGCTGTAAATCGAAATTCTTAAATGCTTTCAGGTGCGTTTGGGCTACTAATTGACAGAGACAACTTGGTGCCAATGACTCCGCTTTCAATTCAAATATTTTTGTATCATCATAATCATTTATAATTTATTTTTTTATCCTAATGACTCTCTCAAAAAATGTTTACCCATCAGAAGCGTAAGATTTTCAAACGATTACACCAAACAGGCTGTAACAAGTGAAGGATTTGAATGCAGTAGTTATACCACCATTTTGTAAAACATAGCTATGCTCTGTTACGCTATGCTATATTGAAACCCGTATGTACCTATATATGCGAGTAATTCTATCGTTTTAGGCTGACATGCAATGACTTCTTTCCCAAAAAAAAAAATATTAAGCCAATAAAATGCTAACTCCACGCAGACATCTTGGCTGGTCCAGCGGTGAAGAATTGGAAATTTTTTTTTATATGTAAATAAGTATGCAAGTACGTAAGAGAAAAATTAAAACTGCTGCATAAATAGGAGAATATAAAATTCCAGCATACACATTACGTATTAAATGCAAATGAAGAGGAATTATTTAACGACTGCATGAAGGGGAGAAAAAAATGAATTTTCAATAGAAATCAGAATTCCCATATAATGCATACATCTTTAGAATGACGCATACATAAGTAATAGAGTAATAGCAACAAAAGTTTTTTTGTTTATAAATAAAATAGAAATATGCAAATTGTTACAAATTATTGAAATACCCGACAACTGGCGGTTGAACAGATTATGCTTACCTGATTTGCATGAGGGTGGTCCTAAAATACACAGGAAAAACAACTTTTTGAATTTATTTACTCGCAACTCCCAGAATTATAGAAAATGGAAAGTAAGGAGATCCGATTTTCTTTGTAATTTTTTTTATCGGTTAATATGTAACCGTGCCGCCGCACAATGAGTAATGAGCGGAAAAAATTATATTAGATCTTTTCGTCTCTTATATTTTTACTTATACTCCACCCTTTGGGAGATCCGGATTTACTAGATTTGCTAGCAAATATAATTTCAGTTTTGAAAACTAAGCCAATAAAGTAATGGGCCTTTTAAAGATTTTTTAGAGGTTAGGTTTGTATGGGCAAATTTATAGTTTTTTCTTTACTTATGTCCTTAGAGGTTACATACGAAAAATTTAAGCCCTACGCCTAATCCTACTAATTTTCTTCAAAAAATATATGGGACTGAACCACTGTGCGCCGCGACTTTGAAGCTTTCCATATACCTATTTATTTTATTTGAAGAAAATAAATTTTTTCGTATACATAATTGCTATAAAATCTTTACCAAAAACTATTTTTTGATCGAATAAAAATATTTTCCTTCAGAAAACTTTTGTCCATAAAATTTTTATGCAAACTAATTATCTTTTCAAAATGTGCCTGATGTGGTGACGAACACATGCAAGTAATTTTTAAGCAAAAATCATCAACGACTTAAATTCTCATACAAAAATTTAGGAGTACCGTTAATATCTTCATGATCCAATGATTGAATCGAAACCAAATTAGTATGGGACCACCCCTGAGGTAACACTTTTCAAAAAAAAAGGAGTATCTAATCGGTTGACGAGGCTCAAAACTATGCGGTAAAAATATAAAAAAAAAAAATTGAAAAATATTTATACGAATTGGTGACCTCCTCTTTTTTTGAAGTCGGTTAAAAATAATAAGTTTTATTGTATGAAAATTTCTAAAGGGAAGTATTTTTTAAGCGATCAAAAAGTATTAATTTTTAACAGTTTTATAGCAATTTTAAAAAATTTATTTTCCCGATATAAAATATATGGAGACTTCGAAGCCCCGGCAACACTAAAAATAAAAAATACGGGTCTCCATATTTTGATATTCTTCAGTTTTAGGCAGCTAAAAAATAACTTTTGGATCAGTATAATGTACAGACTTACATACATATGTATTTGCGAAAAGTATGACTGCCATATACATACATTAGGGTGGTCTAAAAACACATACGAAAAAAAATTTTAATTATTAAGCTCTCTCACCCTAGGAGTTTTCTAAATAAAAAAATATATATATTTGGAACTGCCCATGTAGTTTTCCACGTTTCTATGAGAAATGGTTTCGCATTCTTGAAAATCAATATTTTTCGATCGTAAAACTGTTTCTCTTAAGGAAACTTCCAATAACAATACCCAATTGTTTGTTTAACCATTTTTTAATCTCAATTATTTCTTTATAGGTCCCCCCAAAAAAGTACCATCCTAATGTACATGCATTCATACATGCATATGTATGTGCATTGCAGCTTGCCATCATTTTATTCCAGCCAACCGCTTTGGCATATTTAATTTTTCATGCCTTCTGCATGCAGAATACTAATTTCCTCAAACTTTTTCTATCCCAATGTATGTAGATTGAAGTGTGAAACAATTGTCATCTCCATCTGTAATAGAAATACATACATATGTATGTACATTCATATGCATGCATGCCCGCCAAACAGTATTCACAGCTTTGTGCCGCCAAGAAAAGGGTTGAAATGCCGCTTAACTGTGTCTACCAGCCGTACATATCTACATACATATAATTCATATCAGATCAACGGCGCTTTTTCGTGTTTTGGTAACCATTTTGAATTTTGAAATCATTTGCGAGATATGATTTTATGTGTAATGGCATACAAACATATACCATAATGGTACACAAATATGTATGTATGTACATAAATATGCCCATAGATTATAGTTAATGAATATATGTCGCTACTACATTTTTTTTTTTTTGATTTGATTTGATTAAAATACAACGAATGGCGTAAATAATGAATGCTGCTGCTTCTATTGTTGTATTTGTTGTTGTTATTACTATTGTTGTTTTTGTTGCTAGCGCTCCTCCTGATTGCCATTGATGGCTGCTGAACGAACGATTCAATGCTGTGTGCCCTGTATGTATGAATGGTGGCTGATGGTGTTGTCGATTTTGTTGTTGTTGCTCTCGTTGATGGAAATGATGAATATGATCTTGGCGGCGGCGGTGGTGGTGGCGGTGGTGGTGGTGGTGGTGCTGTTGATACTTTCGTAGTTTCATTTGAGCACACAAACAAACATAGATAACCCTTATTTGTTGCGCTAAGCTTGAGCCCTTCGAGCTGAGCTTACTTAGTTGATGATCAGTTAGATGAGCAGATGTCTCGCATCGGCAATGACAGACAATGTGCGTATGTCACGCGACATTTTGAATATGTTTCTATCGCAGAATTGATACGCACCAACACACAAATATCGGGCTCGTATGTTTACGTACGTGAGGGTACATATATTCATTTGCGATTCAAATTGAAAGTGAAAAATTTGTTGAGAAAAAACCAATTGGATTAATTTTAATGAAATGCAAAATGCTGCTACATATATTTGGGTAACGAATGAAGCATGTGAGTAGGACTGAGAATTTTGATTAATTTCGGTAAAAATAAAAATTGACATTAAAAGCATACATACATACATACATATGTACATGTATTTATTGTCGCTTGGATAAATGAATGTCATATATCACATTTGAAGACTTTTGGGAAATCGCGATTGAAGTTTGGCACACTTTCAGTTTCTAAACTATTTTGTTTTTATTATTTACTAGCAAATAGCCGGTGTGGTTTGGTGCGCCTTAAAAGTATTTTTGTGATACTTGATATTCGTATTGCAATATTTCATTTATTTTATCAATTTAATTTAATACAATTTCTAAAACAGGTGGCAACCCTCCTAAAAATTATTTTCTGCAGTAAACATTCGTAAACCTCTTCAGTTTGTACCCATAGTGCAATATTAAACTTATCTAATCAATTAAATTGAACTAAAATTTTCAAACAGGTGGCAAACTTCAAAAAAACTTTTCGGCTATAAGCTTTCTTCACCTCTTTCTTTTTTCGACAGCCATATTGCAATATTTACTTTGTCTTATCAATTTACTTAAACTGCAGTTTTCACACAGGTGGCAACTCTGTAATTTTTTTCTTTCTGCATTTTAAGTTAGACCTCTAGAAATAAATGAAACTGCATTCAATCCATCCATACGGACAGGCAGAGAAATTCTAAAAATTGTTGATTTATCTTCTGTTGAGCTAGGTTAGAACTTGTTGGCGAAAGAAAGTCGTTTCCGCGAATCCAGCGCAAATTTCAGCACATTTTTAATGTTACCTACAAAAATGCCGTTTTTAGCCCTTCAGATAGCTAAATTTAGCGTTATTTTTTTGTGATATTGCATTTGTCATCTTCAGGCAGTTGTTTTAACTAAACACGTTCACTCTTTAGGAGCCATAAAGTTCCTAACGTACTCTTCTTTTCGCTCTCTTTTCAACTCTCCTTTGAATGGAACTGTTGGATTGGGACCTGTACAGAAAAACCGCAAATCTAAAAACTACTCTTACTCTTTTGACGTACTCAATTCCAGCTAAACTTGGCGTAATGATGCACGGTTAAAAATTTCGGTTTTAATTTTAAACTTTTTGGACTACATATATGACCAAACTAAATTCAGTTTCAAATACAAACCTTCCAAGTTTAAAAAAAAAGAGAGCACATATGTTGGGTTTAGAATTTAAACATTTCGGTTTAAATGTTAAACCCAAACATTTTCATAATAAAGAATAAAAAAAAAAAAAACAATCTTAAATTTCATGCTCCGTCTGGTTGGGATTGAACCCGGACAGCCTTGGTAGCAACCAATTGTATCAAGCATCTTTGCACACTCAGCTACAGCCACGCATGTAAATGTGCTTTCATATGTTGAGTTTGAATCAACACCACAATTCGCTGTGCAAACATATTCTATTTCGGTTTAGATTTTAAACCAAATTTTCTATATATGAAACCTAGAAACTAGAATTAAAACATTTTGGTTTGATTTTTAAACCACGAACTTTTTGGGCTAAAATTTAAACCAGAATATATTAAAAATTGCGTAAAACTATTGACTGGTTTAAAAAGTAGACTATAAAAGTTTAAAAAAGGCAGTAGTCCCAGCGCGGTTTAAAAATTAAACCCAAATTTTTGACCGTGTGCATATGACTATCGAGATCTATGATAATGAAAATACTCTTTAATAACATTGGCGAAGGAACACATGGAAGGAAGTAAATTTTCCTTTGAAATGTCCATCTTGAAATGTCCATCTTGTTTTTACCTCAAACAGATTCATCAGTAAGAGGGAGAGTTTTACTTTACAGGTCTTAAGCATATTTATGATGAAGTTCTTTCTCCCTAAGTGCAGGCCGAGGATTAAGCAGGCAATTCGTTGAATCACGTTGAGTTAATGATAAAAAAGGCTGACTGGCGAGCACAGAAAAGTTATGTGATAAAAGGCTCTCATGTGTGTTTAAATCCAATTTTGAAGTGGTCAAAAGACTACTCTGCAGAATTGTCCGTGAAAACAGTCTTAAGTTGTTTTTTCAAATGTCCAGAGATATGTTAAAGGAAACCCCAGTGTTTCTTAGTGTAATAGCGCAGTGGACAATGCCAATTGGTATGGCCCATTTTAGAGTCAGCGGGGCACTGCCGACTACTGCTGCGGGTCCAAAATCGCAGTATCTCGCTGGAATATATTCGTACGCAACAACCTTCCCGGCTTTCGATGTAATGGCAGGCAGAAAATCGTTTATAATAGGATTCCATAACAGAACGACTTTTTGAAGAGTATCTCTCGGGTAGCCATTCTCCTTTTGGAAGCAATTCCCAATGAGTCATTGATGTTGCTTTTACACAATATATATATTGTCGAATATTGTCGATCCGGAAGGGTTGCCATCACAAACGGTTTAAATACTCCCAATCAATTCGTGCAAGACTGTTTTCGACCAAATCATATTTGTGCTAAGGATCGGAAATAAGGAGTCACCTAATCTGTACACTCAAAAGTCGCAGCATTAGCTCGAGGAGAGAGGAAGAGATACTGATAGGGCCGAAAATGTTTCAGTTTCTGTCTTTCATAAAGAAAATTCTTAGTATTATTGTGGCTAATGTTATTTAGTGCATGGATGGTACGAGCCCGTTTAGAACTTGAGCTTTAAAGATTGCAAAGTAAGTAAGTAAGTGAAAGCCCTCGCTGTCATAATAGCTGTTTGCTATATATTGTCACGTACCGTGAAGTTGACATCCATTCGATGTTCGATTCTTCAATATAGTCTTCAATGTGACTTTTTTCTGGCTTTTACAAGAAGCTAAAAAGGATTCTGCGAAAGGCATCTTTGTAATGACACGACTTCTGAAGTTTTTTCGAGGATATCACAAAAATCCAACCACGTTGCCTTCTGAACCTTCTTTATCCTGCTTACAAACAGGGACCGTAAAAGTTACAACTTTTATTATAAAAATCGCTCTTTAACAATTATCGGTGAAAAAAAGAAATCGAATGGTATGTGTCACTTGGTTGTAGAGCATTTTCCGCATAGTGAATTTTTCAATGACAGTTTTTATGAATAACTGTTATGTTCGCTCCTTGCCTCCAAGTCTCCCGCATTCTTGGTACATGTAAACTCGTACAATAATTGATCGATTTTTTCCGGATATGCATTTCTAAAATATTTTTCACTACAAATTAAAATTTCTTAACTGAATTTTGGCAACATTTTGTCTGCTTTCCCTATAATAGAACAGTACAAAGTACAACATTTCCCTTTAAATTTCTAACATGGAAAAATATGTGCATTCGCACTTGTATTGAAGAATTCAGTCATACAGTTCATTCACCCCTATGCAAATGAGCCTGAAAATGCCCATTTAAACACTAAAGCTTAAAGTTTACAACACTCGAGCGAACTCGGACGCTACGCTTGCCAAGTAAGTAAGTAAGTAAGTACAACGGCAATTAGTTCTCCCTCGATTTCTAAGCAATTTTTGCAAAGCGAAACTTTAAATAGTTAAACAGAGAAGTCTCAGTCGGGCGATATATGTATGTACATCAACTTATATTTGTATATGTGTGTTTGTAGAAATATGCATACATGCTTTCACACAAATACAAGTATAGAGAAAAATTGTAGTAGCTGGTCGCAGTCTACCTTCTTGGCTTATATACTTTGCTTATTTGGCTATGTACAAAATGTACTTGTATATATGTCTATGAGTATGTAAATGGTTGCATGCACATGTGTGTGTGCTGCCTTATATGCACTTAAGTAAATAGTGCGCCAATTTAAGCAAATGTCGAATTCCGCTGCAGACGAGGGCGTCAGCCCCAATGCTGTTTTTATGTTTTTTTTTTGTCTTTGTTTTGGTTCGTTTTTTTTGTTCTTCTCTACACTGAATTTCAAGTATGTATCTACGCTGTGTATGTGCTTAACTACTTGCATACATGCATACATATGTATCTACATACGTATCTGAATGTCCTTTTCGTTAGTTCCTGCATGTCGTTGACTTAGTTGCCGACGGCGGCGAGACCAAAAAATGCAAAATAAAGGACTTTACGCCAGCACCCGAACCGACCAAATGACTGCCGCACTCTTTGGCGGCGGCTGGCTGGCTGGCTGGCTAATGGGTGGACTCGTCGTTGGCTGCTGATAGTCTACTTCGGCTTTTGGGCGTCTTCTTGCTCAGTTTCTACATACATAAGTAGATACCAACATGCATACATGCTTCCTGGCCTAGAAGCGAACGCCTGTGGTTATTGTCATTTGTTGGTATGTATGTATGTATGCCAAACTATATATGTATATCAGCTGGCATGTATTCCGCTTGTTTTTCCTGTGTTCTAACCAGCCGACGACGTGTGTGTTGGTGCCAGCGACAGCGACGTAAATAAATGGGCTGTTGACATTGGTTTCGAGTTTACAAAGAAATCGATTAAATTTAATCGAAACATTGATACTAAACTGCTCACTTACTTATTTACTTGCGTCTCGTAGCGCTCAACACAATTCCAGTATGGTTGGTTGTACACAGCTGCTGCTGGCTGCAGGGCAGATTGCATGTAGACACTAAAATAGATTTAAATGGCAGGCTCTATATGCCATATATGTATGTATGCACACGCATTTAGTACATATGTATGTATGTATGTATGTATATCGGTGAGGCGATAATTGTCCTTGTTCCAGACAAGGTCAGCTAGTAAAACTAGAAATTTCAATCGAAAATTAATTGTTGCCCTTAAAGTTGTAACCTAAAATTGCGTAGGCAAGAATTTTTGAGCTTTAATGTTGCTAGTAGTAGGTCTTTTATGTACATATATGTATATTTGTATATTTCTGTTTAATCGCGTATTAAATTTAGGCTCCAAATTGTGTGTCTACGCTTTTTGTTACACTTTATCGAAATAAAGTCTCTGCTTGAAAAACAAACGCCTAAAAATTGAAATTAAATTTCAACGCACATAAATCAGCTGTTAAATGTCAGTCTTTAAAGTGCTATAAAGTGCGTCTTTTTTGTTTTTATTTTTTTTTTACCCGCCGCCGCTTACGCACGTGTTGCAAGCAAAACAAGGCGTTCGTAGTGCCGCGCGCCCGTCACTTTTTTATTTC